AATCGGACCCATCTCTGATTGCGGGTACATTTGATGTAGAATTTGCCAAATTTTGTTCTCATATTTGATAACTTGATTGTTGCTTACTTTATGTCTTGTTTCCGTCACATCTAGGTTTCCCCCTCTAAATTTCATCTATATAAAATAAGGCGATGGTTATGATTGCCAATGATACATCTATCCGCCATAGTTCAAATAAAGTGGATGCATGTAATTTTAGTCAATCATAAGGCCTTTAACAATGATAAAGCACCATACCGTATAGTCGGCTATAAAAGCCCGCGACATGAAAAATTTAAAACAATTCAATTGAGAAATTTAACGATATAATATATAACAAAAAAAATTACGAAAATGAGCCAACGACAACCACTTAACTGCAGGCTGCAGACTTGGGACAGGCACACAAAGAATGAGCCTCCTCATGGGGGTTTTGGTTATGTCATTACTTGGCCGTTTTTATAGTGATTATTTGATTACCAGACAAATATTTCATGATTATTTGATTATTTGATAATCTATGACTGTATTTTTGATTATTTGATTATCTTGTTTATAAAAGTAATTAATGATTATATTGGCAAAACATTTGTGATTATGTGATTACTTGGACACATCCATGAGGGGCCTCAAGAATGTGGCGGGGTTAAACATGTTTGTGAGCGCTCAACCCTCTCCCTAACCCGGGACAGTGATGTTACAGCAACATAAGAACAAAATATAAAAAATATTTGAAAAGGACTTTACTCATCAGATCGATACAGAGCATAAAACTTCTAACAAAAACACAGACTGGATGTGGCAGGGTATTTATACATCCCTAACAACAAAAGAGTACAGATCTGAGATTATTCGCAGTTACTGACAACTATTTCAAAGCCAATAACAATTAATAAAAAAAATCTTTTATCTAAGACTAAAAAATCAATCAGTATCCTTCTAGGACACATTATTCAGCCTCCGAGCCAATGAGTTTTTCCTCTATTTCTTGAATGCTGCGTGCTGAGTGGAAAAGCAGCAAGTATCAATTCTCAAGTCATAAGTTTGACTGGCCGGGATCAACTTCACTACCTCCTACCCTCGATGCGAGTACGTTATACAACAAGAGCACCGTGGCGATTAGATCCACTGATGTAAGAAAAGCTACCAAATAGGGACATTATAAAAATAAAAGATGTGGTATGACAGAAAATCAAGACAACTATCAAACAGAGTCCAAATGACGTGAAAGTAAGCAACTATAGGTCTCAATACGTCATTCAACAATGAAAAAACAATATCGAGTAATCATTTTGAAAGGCCCTGACATGACAAAATAAGAGACATCTAAAGAAAATATTACAGACAGCAACCAAGAACAACATCTGAATTACAGAATGATGACTTGATAGGGGCGTAGCTAGGTATCCAATAAACTGTAGGCACAAAATGCGGCAGGGGTCTTGGGTCCGCTTAAGGTCCCCAGCAGGTGAAGGGCAGAGCCATGGTAGGAGGTTCAGGAGGGCGAAGCGAAAACGGTTTTCAGTCTTTTTAGTTGCAAAATCTTGTGTACAAAAACATAAAATTTACTGGTCATTTTATCATGATAATTTTGTCATTATAATATACATGACGAAAAGTTCGAAGAATTATAAATAATTTCACAATAATATATGACTGATGATTTAACGCAGTAAAATCCTAAATCTATTTTTTTTTAATTTACAATATATGCATTGCCCAGCGTAGATCAGCGTAGCACTTTCATTAAGCAGTACATCCTGTTTTGTATTTTCATATATTGAGAATAATTGATATATACGTCAATTGATAGTACATATTGACGATCCTTCATTAAAAAAATAGGCACGTAAACACTTAGACTACTATATTATAATACTATCCTTTGGGCTAGGTATCGACCATTCATCTCGATTCTTAAACCTTCGCCCTCCCCGGCAATACAAACACAAACACATTCGATGCCTCATACTATCTAACAAGATTTAAAAAAATCATATTTTCTGATATCTTGTACCGTGAAATCCCTACCTGCTTAGGAATTTGAATAATTATGGCCATTACACGTAGATTTGAGAGTATTGATTAATTGCTAAACGTCCAGTGTGAATTAGTGCATGCTGCATGTTCAGGACTGAAACAAATTTACAATACTAGTAAATACAACAGGTAGGTTCTGTAATAGGGGGCATCAAGGATGGTGGTCTGGAAATTTGGGAATACAATTGGTAAATAGGGGTTTATTGGATAGGGACAGAAATTTTGCTATTCAGCAGACCACCTACGGACCAGCTGAGACAGTCACACAAAGATCGAACGTTATATAGTTTTAACCTGACACAGTGGTGTAACAAACGAAATAATGAACTATTAGTGAAGCAGAAACTGTCTATCCTTTTGGGACATGTGTTGGCTCAATCTTCAGTTTTCTGTGTAGCATTTTGAAGTCCGTCCCTATTTTCTTTTTGTTTTGGTTTCGCCCGTCTTTTCTCGACTTATGGTTTTATTTGTCAACTTGATATCTACAGCCTTGTTTTTTCATGCCACCGCCCACCACATAGTTCAGGGGGCATTAAGGTCTATCCTTTTCTGTCTATAAGTTCGTGTCCGTACGTCCCGAAATTGGTTTCCATTCTCTAACTTAAGTTTTCCTCAATCAAATGTTATGAAACTTATGCATACTGCTTATTACCACAAATTCACAGATCAAGTTAATTATGTATCTTTATAACGTTACATACAACCGCTGGCATCATCTGTGTCCCATGGACACATTCTTCATTTATTTATATTTATAATTAAAAAGTTAAGCAGTCAGCATGCATTTTATTTTGTTCAAGGAAGATGAGACTTTCAGCTAACATTGACAGTCATCATAAGGAGTCTGTTGATTTATATCTGGGCTCGCTTTTATTAAACACTATTCATAATTTCTCAAAATCTATAAATGGCAAGGAGAAGCTGTTTCAAATAACGCATTAACATTGACTAATACAAATATTATTTTCTGCTCCTGTGTCGATTTACTTTCGGATTTTTTGGCATATAAAACTAGTCATAGTTGTTTAAAAATCTATAAATGGAAAGGAGGGGCGCTTTCAAACAATTCATAAATACAAATGGTATTACTGCTCCTGTGTCGATTTGGTTTCGGGTTTTTGGCATACAAAACTAGTCATAGTTGTTTAAAAATCTATAGATGGCAAGGAGGGGCGCTTTCAAACAACTCATAAACATTGACTAATACAAATGTTATTACTGCTCCAGTGGCTGATCCAACTTGTGAAATCCCACCGATCCACAACAGAGCCCGTTTCCCTTCTGCTCTGAAGACTCCAGCTATAGAGACTTTGACAAAGGTTAATAAGAAAGTAACTAATACCCAGACAGTGACCTGAAAAATCAATAGTAAAAACAATTAACTGTACGTAAATTTATAAAGTGAGGAAATATACCAAAAAATCTAAGATCATAAACCAAATAAAAACAGTCAACATGTCGAAATTGAAAACGCCGAAAAGACAAATTACTATAAAAATAAACATTTCATAGAAAAGTAGATTGAACAAAGTCAGGTAAATTCACAATTCCAAATTCAGTGCAAAAAAGTCGTTGTAATATTACATTGCTTCGAAGTTGTTCTTTAACCAAAATGAAAATAATCGTATCTGAAAGAAAATATATAACTTTACTTTCAACATAAAACTTTTGTTTTGTTTTAGATCCTTTATACTTTATATATATAGAATTTGTGTAAGTACTTAAAATTTGTTGAAATCTATCAGACTTGAGGTTGTGAACTTTCTTTACGAATCTGGTCAAATGTTTAGATATAAGCCATATAATATGCTTAGAATGCTAGGATTCATACATGGAGCTGCATTACTGTGAACTTGCGTAAAGATTTAAAAATTAAGACTTCAAGGGAATGGCCCTAGCTTTGTGGGTAATAAATTCGAGGGAATTTGCCCTGTTTAATTGTTACGTTTCATTAGAATGAAATACTGTAACAACAGCTGGAACTTGTATACTTCATTGGTAACATCCTCACGATAGTCAGAATTCCAGCACTGGATTGTGCTTTGCCAACAAATTAAGTTTGTAATTCACTCACGTGAGGTTTCCAACTATTCTTATTAACTCCCGACCCGTTTTGGTGTAATAAATATATAGATTTCCTACTGTATGGTTAGCATCGGGTGAAAACATAACAAATACAAAAGAGGAAAATTATGAATGTAAATAGAACATAATGCATTTTATCATGTCATGTTATGTCAATTACAATTATGATTTTTGTCTAATGTCACACCGTGATTTTTATTTTCAATAACGATCCCACTAAACGGACAACTTTTGACATTAAAACCAAAATCTTAAAACATTAAACAAGACAGATTTTATCTCATAATAATTAAAGAGATGTGGTACAAACGTAATCAATGAGAAAGTAACACAACGATTGATTGAATGATTGTTGGTCATTAACGCCACGTTAGCACTATTGGCTACATCGTGGCAATCAGGTTTTTTTCATTTGCGGTGGTAGTGGGAGCTCCCGACCAGAACAGCCGAACTTCGGCGCGAATAATAACAGTGCTAGTCAATTTAGAATAGAGTCGAACACACCTGCCACGTGCGGGGTTCAAACTCACAAAATCAGTGTTGACATGCTTCTGATACAGTAGTTGACCACTCGGCCAACGAGGCCCCGCTTCACAACGACACAAATAAAAAGAAACATACTTACTACTACGCCTGTCCCGACTGTTATTTCATCAAAAGCTGGTTTTGGACTTTTAATAGCTAGATATATGATGTATCCCGTCAAGGCTGTTCCAATGAACGTTAAAACTGAAATAGCATTTCTGGATTTTACTGTTATAAAACATGACACAAAACACGCTACTGGATTCGAAATCTACGCCAAAGTAGCAGCCAAATGGTAAGTCTCGTTTCCGTTTGGTAATGTTGAGTATGACTGCAATGCAGGCAGGGTTCCATTGGAAAGACAGTTTATCTATGCTATAATCACCAGATAATATGTAAACATGACTGTTGTAAGCATTTCTGGCAATATGTGTTCAGTTATTTCTACCGACTGAGAATTGTGTTTCTTTGTCAAGTACTGGCGAGTGGAATCTTGCTCATTCTGGCGAGTGGAATCTTGATCATACTGACGAGTAGAATCTTGCACAGAAGAAAGAATAAGTTCATCTGAATCGTTTGCAGGAATTAATTTAGATGTAGTTTGATCTGATGCGAGTTCAAATTCGTTCATTGGTTCACGCTTTCTACTGTCATCATAGTGTTTTACTTTTTCCTTTTTACAATATGACGTGTAATTTAAAATGGTGAAGGACAAGATTGAAATGACCAACATTGTGAATAGAAAGTAAAAGAATTCTTCTACTGTAAATCTTATGCTATGATATACAGGCTGCACACTGTAACTAGTAGAATTAGCTGTTTTGTTGTAAATAGATACATTTTTGCATGTAAGCTGGCCAACTCCTTGACATAAGGCAACCACACTAGGAATTAGTCCACTAAGGCCTTCTCCAATAAAATAACTTGACATGTATTGCCGTTTAAAAGTAGCCATGAATGGTAAAAATAGAACTGATGTTGTACAATCGGTTAACGACAAGGAGAAATGAAGAACTAACAAGGCAGTGCTGTGTAAATCCCCTGCAATAACTGTTGTTTCTTTCCAGAAGAACGATAGAAGGAAGCATGATGCTGCTCCAGTGCATAAAACAGCATAAACTGCAACTCGTTCCCAAATATATTTCTTGGAAACGATATACAAAACAGATATGAATATAGGTCCAATATTAGCCATCTGTGTTATGATGGAGAAGTACGATGGGAGTTTCCATCCTTCCGGTAGATGTTGAACGAAGACAGGAGTTTCTACGAACATTCCATTTATATCTACCCAGGATCCAATGCCAAACAAAACCACCAGTAAAAATACAATTATATTTACTTCATCGCACTGAAATGCGTCCGTACCCATGTTGGTTTTTATTTGTAATAGTTTACAAACTATGTAATATCAATCATACTGTTTTCTACATGCGTACTGAATAATAATGTATCATAACTTGTCACAGTTTTTTTACAGTATTTATAATACTGCTACATTTTGAAACTTCATTAATTTTAACTTTTTGCACTAAGAGTATGCGACTACAAAACTGTACAAATTATGAACTGTTCTATAATAATTACAAAGGTAATAGCAATATATATTTCTCATTATTTAAATTTTATAAATAGCGAGTTTGAAGAATTTTCTGTTTTATTATACTTATTAGCAATATATAGTTTTTATCATTTTATAAATAGCGAGTTTAATATATAGGTTGAGTAATGATTGATTGACGTCGGTTCTGAAACAAGACGCACGTGCCTGCTTCACAGATAGCTTTTGAAGCCATATCCGGTTAAGCGAAATTGTTAGATAAATAAAAGTTTTCATTTATCATCGATAAACGTTGTGAAATGCGTGCGCCTGCTTGGTCGTCTGTTGGAACAACTTTTTGCCGTCTACCTAGTAATTAACATTTTGCATAATGCACTGTTATTAGATCTCCTGAAAATGGCTCAGTTCATTCAGTGACACTATTAGTTATCTTGGTGTAATCAGGGGTGTACAGAATTTTACACCGGTGTGGAAAATTCATACACCCTGAGGCGCAGCCGAAGTGTGTATGCATTTTCAACACCAGTGAAAAAAAAAATTATAATTTTTGGTCCTCAAATTTATTTATTTTTTTATTTTTTTGCATTTTATTTGTTTGTTTTTTTTTTTACTTAATTTTGGCAAAATTTATATTTTTTAAAATTTTTGTCAACATTTATTTATCCCCGGGTGAACAAGGGTGGGGTGTTATTTACACCCGGGAAATTAACCAATCAAATTGCAGGATTTTTGCTACATAAGAAATAAATTGTTTCATTTGGATCTCTAAATGAAAGTTATATATTTATTCATGATTGTGCTTTTATACTACCCTTAAAATATTGTACACTAGGTTGTCAAGGACATTTTTTCCGATAGTCCTATAAAACTCTGTAAAATTATTTCATGAAAGAGCCCACTATATTTTTTTTCGAAACTGAAGACAAATAACAGATAAAAAAAACGTATTTATATGATTTGAGTTCCAAGTACACAACGCCCTAGTTGTTTTGGTACAGGATTTCGATATTGTATTTTTCATTGCTTGCATTTTAAATTCTTTTTTATATTTTTTTTGTAACATACTTAACAGGACTGTGCTTTGTCATATCTATATTTGAGTTTATTAACTCTGATACATTATACAATATAAGGTAAATGTAAAAAAAATATCAACTTTTTTTGTATGAGGCTTAGAAACTGGGGAAGGGCGAAGTTTACCGAGCCCTTTCATTTGTTTCGAGCCGAATACAAATGTTTATATTTTCCGACATTGACCTCATATTGTTTTAATACTGCAGCTAAATATGGCTACACTTATAGTTGTGGAAAAAATATACAAAAAAAAAACACGCATTTAACATCACTAGACTAACCAAAAATTGTGAAGAAAGGTGACGTGACATGAAAATGACATTACATGAAATATCACTTTTTTACTATATTTGGTAGATGAAGACAGTATCAATTGAATGAATAGCTGCAGTATAAAATCATTTTATTTACTACATGTAGCCAATAATTTGTGTTTTTTGTTTTAAATTGTTGGTAAAATTATTTTATGAAATTTGATAAATTTCACCCAAAACTAAGTTAGAAAATTTAATTTTTAGTGCAAACAATTTAAAAAGTATATATATATATATCATGTTACCAATACTGGGGAATAGAAATATAATCTCTTCTTCCGACCGGCAGTAACACCCTTGCCAAAAGGTCTGTTTGGCTGTGCCAGATGTACAAGTACGCAGCCGAGTCCGGTCAGAATGGGGTAGTTAAATCCAATGCCTCGTGTATAGAGAGTGCCACGTTCTCTGCACTCTCATCCTTGCAACAACTCTTTGAGGGATCCGTAGGTGGCATGTGGCAAGGCAAAATTTCCGTCCCTATCCATTATACCCTCATTTTCCAGTGGCAGTCCAAATTTTCCGACCTCGATCCAGGATGGCTTCTATTACAGGACCTACCTATTGTATTTTTTGTTATTTTGTTCTCGTCCTGAACATGCATAAAATATTTGCCACTGGACATTAAGCAACCAACAATTAATTAATCATATAACCAAGCGCCTGTGCACAAAACTTTCTCTGGAATTACCATTATCAAAAGTGGAAAGCCAAAAAAAAAAAAAAAGATAAGAAGGAAGTAGACAGAAATACATGCAGCAAAATGCATTTCAAAGATTAAACACAGTGACCATTAGTCTGTCGTCAAGGGTGTGTTGCAAAAGGTTTAGGATGGTGTTGAGAGACTTAAATGTTTTCGTTTAAACCCATGGTGATACATTTAATTCCTCTACGTATGTTAATAATCAATAGTTAGTTCTGGGATATAAATGATGAAACTGAAGCGAGATGATCAACCCATCTTTTGTTTTATAAGTAACAAGATCAATCAATTAGTCTGAATGTAAAACGTATATTCGACTCTCTTCTTCATATAACCGTATTTTTAAGAATTTTTTTCTTAAAATTTTCGGGGACAGAAATGCAATTGGTGTAATATTTCCATAGAATTTTTCAGTGGAATACATATCTAAAGAACACCATATTCTACTAAATGATTGATTGATTTTTTTTTTGTGTTTTAGCGCTACTTTCAACCACCGACCTTCGGCAGGAAAACTCAATCCTAATCAATTAAGATTGGATTCGAACGCACCTTCCACGTGCGGGGTTTGAACTCACATCCTCAGTGTTGACAGTTTAGAACAGTAGTTGAAATACTTAAACTAGTCGGCCATCGACCCCCTCCCCCTTTTCCCTATATTTTATTTAATACTAAGCAAATTTAAAGCACGATACCACGAGGTATGAATATAATGAACAGCTTTTATTTTCATGATACAAATTATGAATTGAGATTGAAAAACAATTAAAATGAACCGAGTATCTAAAACTCCTCAGTTATTATAATGAGATCTCGGTGGGATAATTAGAATCCAACAATGTCAAAATACCAACTTCCCACAGATACACATAAATGGTTAGTCTAATATTATCGCTTTGGCTATGCATGGTATGTATTGTTTGTTTATAAATTTTGTCTTAAATTCTACAAGCAAAGTTAACCTTAGATGGTTTTGTGTTTTTTTTTTCTAGTTAATGAATGAAAGTAATACTTTGGTGCTTCCGTAGCGGTTTCCTGGATTTTCTCTTCATCAAGAACGATAAAACCCAATAATTTGATACCCAAGAATAAATAAATACTTGATGATAAATAAACTCATAGATATCGGGATTAAAATTGTGTACGCCAGACGCGCGTTTCGTCAACAAAATACTCATTAGTGACGCTCGAATCAAAAAAGTTATAAGGCCTGATGAGCTATATGACCAAAAGTGACATAAAAAAACCAGCCAAATTTATCTTAGGTAAACTTTACCAGACTCAAGCTAGCGAACAATAAGCCAGCGAACAATAAGATGCATCAAGCTAGCGAACAATAAGCCAGCGAACAATAAGATAACGCGCCAACCTGATCATGTCTAAAAACCGAAGACTTGCAATAACATGAAACGTCCTTTGAAATCTGAAAACCGGGCATCTAAAATTCCTTTTAGCTAACCCTTTCTCTTTTAAGTGTTCTCTGATTAGAGATGGGTTTGTTGTCTTTATAAAAATGAAACAATAAATAACAATAGTTCATACTAATCAGTGTAACGATACAATTAAATTTTCTAGCTTATATATGTGTTTGAAAAGAAAAGAAAAAAAAACGGACTGATTTTGGAACGTCAAGTATTTTATGTTAGATTCTCTGTTGAAATAAAAGCTGATAACTATTATACGGAGTTTTCTTCTTTTGTCCAAGAACTAGTACAATTTTCTAATTATTCAAAAGTATGTCGTTACACTGGTAATTTATTTATTATATTTCGATAGGAAGAGTGATAAGCCTAAGAGTGACACACAAATAGAATTGACATAAAGATTTTGGTTAATCTAAACGACAAATTTTGTGAATCCAAGATTATCTAAAATGTTTTCCAATAATTTCAAATGATAGGCAATTGCCTAAGGTTGCCTGGACCCAAAGACCCAGGTGGGTAAAGTTACGGAACTTTTTTAATTGAGGTCCAAAGTTGGGTTATGGTGTATCCCCTCCCCCCTTTTGACCGGAAAAATATCAATTTGTTTGCATAAAATCGTTACCAACTTTTGACCTCAATTAAAAATTCGCTTACCTCCGCTCGGCAGTATATACAGTATGTATTTATTCGTAAATAACGCCCCTCCCCCTCCTTATTCAAAATACCTGGATCTGCCCCTGATTTGTCCAACTTATAAGCTGTTGTGGATAAAAAACCAATGTGTATTGCACACGGATTTTTTAAAACTTTTTTTTATATCATAATAACCTACTTATTCTGAACTGGACCTAAATAGAAAATGTTGATCATGCTAATGCGTGCACAAAAAAAAAACCAACACGTTTGTCACAGTTATGAGAGCAAGAAAATCTAAACAAATTTTTAAAATAGTCATATACACCACAGAGGTCATGTAAATGTGGGTGAGTTCAAAGTCCTCTGATAAATGAGATGAAAATTTGGATTAGTGTAACAAATTATTTCATTAATTATACATTATACATGTATATGGAATACATTACAAAAAAAACTTAATAATAGGAAAACATCTTATTCAATCTCATAGTAATTTTAATGTATAATTACTAATCACTGTAATGAAGATCATTATTAGCAAGCAACACTTGTAAATTATGACTAAATATGAAGTCAAAATATACACAAAGTACATCGCAAAAACTTAATGAGATCACACAAATTTAACAACTAGTGGCATCTGAGAGGTGGAATATCCCACCT